AGCCCAGGAGTTTGAGGTTGCTGTGAGCTAAGATGACGCCACGGCACTCTAGCCCAGGCAACACAGTGAGACTCTGTCTAAAAAAAAAAAAAAAAAACCCTCAAGCCAGACCCAAAGGGTGCAGTCTGCAGGCCTCTGAATTCTTATAGCTTACTCTTACAAGGGTGCAGAATGTCAAACTTGTTTTAACCGGTCCATACTTGAATATCTTTAATCTCACCAATGGGAGCCCGTTTCTATCATTTATCTTATCAAATAACAAGACACATTTTTATCCATAAAAGCCCATTTTTGATACCCAGAATGGTTATTAGAAAAGTCTAGGTTGCTGATGGAGACACAGAGAGCAGAAGGATTGGTCATAGCCACCTGTGGAAGGTGTTCCTTCTTAATCTAATGCCAGCCGACCACTCCTTGACTGTGCAATCTTCTCTCCACCCCAACATTTTATTACAATTGTCGACATACAGAAAACCTGAAAGTATGTACAATGAACACCAATATACCACCAACTACATCAGTAGTTCTCAAGTTTTAGCCACTCTCGGAGTCTCTGATTTAGTGGATCTGGCCTCAAAATGTGAATTTCTAACAAGTTTCCAGGTGACGAAATAGCTGCTGGTTCCTGAACATCACTTTGAGAAACACAGACCTTAGTTCTGCTGTCAGTAGTTTGCTGTATTTATTTTATCACACATCTATCCACTTATTCCTCCCTCCCTCCCTCCGTCCATTCATCCATCTTATTTTTTGATATATTCCTAAGTAAGCTGCAATCGGTACACATTACCCCTGAACCTTGAACATGCATATCAGTAACTAAACTCTAATACTTGTATATGGATTTTATTTTCAGGTCAAATTTACCTATAGTGATGAAATGTGGCACGACAAACCTTCCTAATTTGCAGGCCACTAGATTGGGGCAGCTGTAGCACTTTAAATTCCTATGCAAGCAAATGGAAACCCAGTATAAACAGTAAAATAAAACTGGAGACTTAACCAGTCAGAAACAGCCAACTAACCTCTCACTAAGGGACTTTCCACTTTAAGCCATCGGTACATTGTCCTCGTCTTGCTTCCTGAACCACCTTCTGAAAGCGTCCTCGCCCGGCCTCCCGGGGCGGTGCTCGCCCACTCGCCCTCTGGTGCTACCCAGTTCGCCAATCGCTGAGTGCTCAAATGAACTCTAACATTTCATCGTGCCACTGTTATCTTTTAACAGTGGACTGTGCAGTCTTTTTCTTTTTTAAGTTTGTTGAAATATAATTTACATATGGTAAAATTCATTCTTTTTTGACTTTTGACAAATACATAGTTAGGCACCGCCGTCAAGATACAGAATGTTTCCCTCGATATAAAATGACCCACCACACCCCTTAGTAGTAAACAGCCCCCCTAACTCTCAGTCCCTGGCAACCACCGATCTCTCTTCCACCCTTACAGTTTTTTTTTTTTTTATTTTTTTGAGACAGAGTCTCACTGTGTTGCCCAAGATACAGAATGTTTCCCTCGATATAAAATGACCCACCACACCCCTTAGTAGTAAACAGCCCCCCTAACTCTCAGCCCCTGGCAACCACCGATCTCTCTGTCTCTAGACTTGCCTGTTCCGGACGTGTCGTGTAGATGGAGCCTCACAATATGCGACTGTCTGTGACTGGTTTCTTTCGCTTAGATGGTTCTTCTGGGTTGTAGCAGTATCACCACTGCATTCATTTTTATGGCTGAGTAGTGTTCCATTGTATGGATACGTTTTGTTTGCCCACTTACCAGTTGATGGACATTTGGGTGGTTTGTGCTTTTTGGTTACTGTGGCTAATGCTGCTGTGAATGTTCGTGTACAGGTTTTTTCGTGGATGTATGTTTTCAATTTTCTTGGGCGTATACCTGAGAGTAGAATTGCGGGGTCGTACAGTAACTCTGTGCTTAACCTTTGTGAGGAGCTGCCAGACTGTTTCCCAAAGCGATCGCACGATTGTACGTTCCCAGCAGTAGTGTATGAAGTTTCTGATTTCTCCACATCCTTGCCGGTTCTGATTATTGTCTTTTTTCATAATAGCCATCCTAATGGGGATGAAGTGGTATCTCATTGTGGTTTAATCCTCTTATTCTTACACAACAGTTGTTCCCATTTTGCTTTCTGTCTTTTAAGTGCTTGCCATATCCTACATGTCTTTACATGGGTGTGTCCTGTTCTGTTTTTTTTTTTCTTCCTGGCTTAGCTTAATTTCTTAAACACTTGGTGGAGTTGCTGCTCACGAGGGAGGCACCATGGTAGTGCTACCTGATGCTCTCGTAAAGCGGGGCCCGGGGATCTTGGGAGACCTCTTGGGTGTGGGGTGGAGAAAATCGAGGTGCCCTAGGAGAGCAGGCACCTCTCTGTACCCACAGGCTACTGCTACTATAAGCTTCAGGTTGACTTCTCCTCGGACCGCCTGGGCTGTTTTACCAAGTGTCGGAAGCCATGCAGGTGAGTGTCCCCTTCCCTCAGGCACAGGTTGGGCAGTGGGCTGCTTGGCTGGGTAGAATACAGGGTGCCCAGCTAAGCCTTGGGGGATTTCCACCCCAGCACTGAGTGCCTTTCTTGTCCCCAGTGTGACCAGCTACCAGCTCTCTGCTGGTTACTCACGATGGCCCTCGGTGACATCCCAGGTAAAGGGGGAAGGGAGGGGTGGGGGACGCAGGTGTGCATGTAGTGCTGCGCCCTTCTCTGGGTAGGATGTGTATGGGTGTGTTTGCCCTGATCCCATCCCTGTAAGCCTGAAGAATATGGGGGTGACCTTGGTGACACCCCATTCTTTCCCAGGAATGGGTCTTCCAGATGCTATCCAGACAGAACAATTACACCATCAACAACAAAAGGTCAGTCCTGCCCTGGTCCCATTCCCAGGAAAGGAATCCTTGGGAGGGAAAACAGATCTGGGGAGAGGAATTGATGCAGTTGATTGGAGGATGGTCTCAGACGTTAATTCTCCTCCCTTTCTTCCCACTCTCCTCTCTGTGCCAAAGAGACGGAGTTGCCAAACTCAACATCTTCTTCAAGGAGCTGAAATACAAAACCAATTCCGAGTCTCCCTCTGTCACGGTACGTCCTGCCTCATGGAGGCTGTGATTCTCTGGGGGTCTTAGCGGGGTGGCTGTCAGGGAAAACTAGGGGTGGCCCCTGTGGGGCCAGAGCATTTGGGCCTCAAATGTAGGGGGCCAAGGACGAGGGGAGGGGGTCACCGGCGAGGGTGGAGTGTTGAAAGGAGGACCTTGGCTGGGGCATGAGGTCTTGAGGGTGGTGGGAGGGAGGGGTGTGCCAGATGCCGGCAGAAGGCCCTTGAGACATGCTCCTGGCTGTGGCCCAGTTGTCTGCGCTCTCTGAGTGACACCAGTCAGGAGCTATGTGCTCCCAAGGGAAAGGAGCAAGGCAAGGAGCCCGGGCTGCCGGGGGGCTGAGAGGGGTGGGGCCCTTGGGGCGAAAGGGAGATGGCTTGGTCAGGAGGGATGGACGCTCCTCTGCCAGAGCCCACCCAGGTTCCTCTGCCCTGTGGTCATGTGACGGTCTCCCTCACAGATGGTCACCCTCCTGTCCAACTTGGGCAGCCAGTGGAGCCTGTGGTTTGGCTCCTCGGTGCTGTCTGTGGTGGAAATGGCCGAGCTCATCTTTGACCTCCTGGGCATCACCTTCCTCATGCTGCTCCGGAGGTTCCGAAGCCGATACTGGTCTCCAGGCCGAGGGGGCAGGGGTGCTCGGGAGGTGGCCTCCACTCCACCATCCTCCTTCCCCTCCCGCTTCTGCCCCCACCCCACATCCCCATCCTTGGCCCAGCCTGGCCCTGCTCCCTTACCGGCCTTGGCAGCCCCTCCCCCTGCCTATGCCACCCTGGGCCCCTGCCTATCCCCAGGGGGCTCAGGCTCTGCAGGGCCCAGCTCCTCTGCCTGTCCTCTGGGGGAGCCCTGAGAGGGGACAGTGCTCCTCCCACCAAGGCAGGTGCTCCCCCTGGAGGGAGGAGCCCACCTTGGCAGGATTAAAGGATGTTAGGGACTTGCTCTCAGAGCCACCAACTGCCTTTGGTGTGGGAGGGAAGCAGGATGGGTGAGGGGCTCCGGAAGTTGCCCAGAGGACAGTGGCCAATGGAGCTGCCCAGAATTTGCTTGGCTCCTGCCTGCACCCCTTGGTCCTGCCTCCGAACAGGATTTCCCCACCCAAGTGCAGACCAGTCTCCTTTTCCCTTGGATCAGCCAAGCCAAACTTGGAACTTTGACAAGGAACTTTCCTAGGAAACGACCGATGACCTGAGCAAAACACAAACAAGAATACACAAAGGCATGCGCAGGTTTCCTACCCAATGATGACTAAAGCCAGCCCCAGATTGGCCTGGACACACTGCTTTCCAGTGACACGGATGTCTGCTCCTCTTCTTGAACTTGGGTGGGGAACCCCACCCAAAAGCCCCCTTTGTTAGTTCTTGGGCAATTCCCCTTCCCTCACTCCCTAGCGCCGGGGCTGCAGCAGACCAATGTGGTAAAGGCTTGGCTATTCCCAGTCGGTCCCAGGATTCCTCTAGCCTCATACCCCATCCCCCACAGAGCCATACCCCAGTGCCTCTGCTCTGTGGTATGTCTGCTCAAGCTATTTCTTCAGCCTGGAAGCTTCCCCAGCTATCTGCTGGAGAACTCCTATGCATCCCTCAGAACCCTCCTTAGACACCACAACTTTTGTGAAGGCTTCTGCCCCAGAACTAATCACTCCCCTCCCCTGGGCTCCCACAGCACACTACATAACATATACAGGAGTGCTGATGTCACCTTATACCTTCTTGTTCATTTGTGTGTGCCTTCCCAATTAGACTGTGAGCTCCTTATGGTCAGGGTCTGAGTCTTGTTCATTTATGTATGCTCCAGGTCTAGCCTAGCATCTCGCTTGGAGCAAGTAGGCAGGTGTTCAATAAATGTTTGTTGCACAAAAGCATGTCTGGAGAGCTGGATGGGACACGGTGAGGGGATGCATGTCCCTGCGTCACTGCCCAAATTGCTGGGAGGTCCTGGGCTGGGGGTAGGGGACGGACTCCCATGCCCCTTGGCTTCCCTGTGGAAGTGACCATGCTGCAAGGGCCTTGGGAGAGATCAACGGTCCTGCAAGGTCCCCCATGGGCGTCACTGAGCATCTACTCTGTGCCTGTCACCGTGTTAGGGTGGAAGGGGGAAGACAGTGCCCTCCTCTCAGGCAACCTATCTTGTACTGTTGGGGAGACTTGCCTTCTCCCATGTCTGAACCTTCTTTTCCTTCCCAACTTTAGTTACCATCATCATTTTTCTTTTCCTTTTTTGAGACAGGGTCTCACTCTGTCGCCCAGGCTAGAGTGCAGTGGCGTCGTCATAGCTCACTGCAACCTCACACTCCTGGGCTCAAGCGATCCTCCTGCCTCAGCCTCCCGGGTAGCTGGGACTACAGGTGTGTACCACCACACCGGGCATCACTGTCACCATTAATCCTCCACTCCATTTGCTGAGGCCCAGTCACCACCAGCTGCAGTGTGACTGTCATCTGTCACCCCCATCAGCCGCCCCCTAGTGGTGGGGGAGGAGGAGGCTCAGGCAGTCTCTTCTGGAAACTGGAAGCCTTCTATAGTCCTGTTTGTACTTCATCACAGAGAGGGGAACAGAGGGAATCCTCCCAGCTTTAATAAGGGAGGAACCGAGGTCCAAGGAGAGGCTAAAAGATGTCTGAGTGGAACCCCAATTTGGCCCCCACTCCAGCTGGATCCCAGAAGTGACCTTTTCTCATTGTCTCTGGGGAGTCTTCCCCTGTGGGCTTGGTCTTATTCCTCCTGCTTATGTCTCCCTGTCCTGAAGGAGAAAGGGATTCTCGGGGAAAGAGGAAAGAGAAGGAACTGGTGATGGGGGGGGCGGGGGACAGGGTCATGACCAGGAACGACGTGATGTGACCACTGCTGACTTCCCCTTCCTAGACTCAAGCTGATGAGGGGAAAACTGGTGTCTGGTGTCGCAAGTGTCTTCTGTCAGAGCCCTCAGGTGCAGCCTGCCCTTGGCTGCCCCTGCCACAGCCTCGGCCTCTCCCGGCTCCCCCCGCCACCGGTCCCCAGCACCCTCTCCCCTGGCTGGGGTGGGAGGACCTGCGGGACAAGGCCAGATGTCTCATGGAGGACTACAGCTGCCTCACCCCATGCTCCTTTCTCCTTGCCTGCAGGTGTTTCCTGATCTCCACCCCCTCGGCTATGGGTTACTCCTGGACCCTGGGGTTAGGAGTTGGAATCTGGGTGTTGCAGATAAAAGCATTTAAGTTGCCTCATTTTCCTTGTCAGGCTCAGTAAGGCGAAGTGACTTACTCAAGTTCCTAATTCTTACAGAACCAGTCTTGAACCCAGGGCTCCTTCTGTGACTCACCTTGCCTCCCTCTGACACACGCAGTCTGAAAGGCAGGGCCGGGGCTAGAGCCCACGTCACCTGGACTTTGAGTCCAGTGCCCGTTTGGGTTAAGCGCGTGCCTGTGTGTGTGCGCGTGTGTGTGTGCGTGCGTGTGTGTGTGTGTGTGTGTGTGTGTGGTGTGTGTGCGCGCGCGTGCGCGTGCATGTGTGAAACGTGGTGGGGGAAGGAGGTCACCACTATCTGAAGCTCTTTTCTTCACCTTTTGCCCCACAAACCCTAACGGCCAATTCTGTCACCCCCAGTCTGCCCCTCTCCCGTTTCTGTCTCTCCCTTCTCTTTCACCAGGAGTTTTCTCCCCCTGGAGGGATGATGGTCGCATTCTCACCTCCTCCTGCAAACTAGTTAGCTTTGCTAGTCCTAGATTCACCCACTTCTCAGCGTGTTTTCTTTTTTTTTTTTTTTTTTGAGACAGAGTCTCACTCTGTTGACCTGACTAGAGTGAGTGCCGTGGCGTCAGCCTAGCTCACAGCAACCTCAGACTCCTGGGCTCAGGTGATCCTACTGCCTCAGCCTCCCGAGTAGCTGGGACTACAGGCATGCGCCACCATGCCCGGCTAATTTTTTCTATATATTTTTAGTTGGCCGATTAATTTCTTTCTAATTTTAGTAGAGACGGGGTCTTGCTCTTGCTCAGGCTGGTTTCGAACTCCTGAGCTCAAACAATCCGCCCGCCTTGGCCTCCCAGAGTGCTAGGATTACAGGCGTGAGCCACCGCCCCCGGCCCAGCATGTTTTCTTTTTTAAAAAAAGCAATTTTATTGAATAATTTAATACCACATGTCTCAAAGCTTTAAACTTATTGAGTAAATAAGCATTTATCCTAAATATTGAAAAAATTCTCCTTTTGTGTCGGGCTATGTGTAATGGCTTTGGCAGTTTGCACAGACTATTAGAAATTCCTTGTAACATTAAAAATAGGACATTGAAGCTGTTATTAATTATTAATACAGTGATTAATATTGCTACCACTTGTCGAATGCTTCGCATATGGCAAACACTTGCTAAACACTTTACATGCATTTAGTTATCAAACCAGCTCTGTGAGGGGCTCCAGCACATGTCCCAATTTTCAGATGAGGAGGCTGAGGCTGTCCTCTCTTCTTCGTGTTGGAAACTTGCACTTTTTTCTAAAGACCCTGCATCTTCAAGAGCCCTGCTTCGAGCCCACCCCTGCTGTAGCCGGGCCTCCCTGTGCGCTGGTGGTGAGCTCTGTGGTCCTGCTTTAGCCCCCAGTTCCCCAGAAGTGGAAGATGGGGTGAGGTCAGCTCCCGCTCTGCCCTCAGGATGAGAGGGGGAGGCCAGGAAGAGCCAGGGAGCGGGGATGTGGGGCTGGGAGGCCACCTCCGAGGGAGAAGCCCTAGGACCTCAGCCTTCTCTGATCTCCCTGCATTTCCGGCAGCCTCGGCTGCTGGAGGCCCTCAGGCTGGGCTGGGTGTAGGAAGGTCCTTGTGCCCAGAAGGTACAAGTGAACATTATACCCTTGCTGCAGGATTCGCTTGGGAGATGTCCTGCACAAATGGGGATGGCGTAAAGTACCCAGAGTCAGGGTGTGCGGTTTGAGTCCAAGGGACAGAGAGAAAGGTGGCAGTGCATCTCTCATAGCCCAGGCAGCCCTCGGACCGCAAGGCGGGGGTCTGGGGTTCTCTGCCGGCTCTGCCTCCTGCTTGCACGTGTCTCTGGGTCTCAGTTTTCCCATCTATAAAACCAGGGGCTGGTAGACCATCTCTGAAGTCAGTTCTGACTGATGTATCAGAGTATCTGGGGAGAGGGCAATGGGAACGGACAGTGATACCTGATGAAGATATCTTTATTTCCAAAGCGTTTTCATGGATGTGGTCTCATTGATCCTCGGGGCACCACTCCCCCCATGTACGTGGGCAGACATTGTTGCCTCCATTTAATAAATGAGGAACTAACCAATGTTGCCCGATGTCCCACGATTGGCAGCAGAGCCAGGATCAGCAGGTGGGGACCAAGCCAGGCAGAGACTAGATGAGAACCAGGTGGGGGCGTGTGTGGCCAGGGCCCCAGTCAGGGCAGAAAGGCTTAGCACTTACTCTCAGGTTTGGGTTGGACAATTAAATTCCCACGAAGTGGAAGGTTAGGGGCCCCCGTGGAACTCTGGGGTAAAGGGAGAGTTACGGAGGAACGCTGAGTACTGCTGTGTTGGAGACTTATCCGTCCTGTCTCAACAAATCCTTACAGCAACCCCCTGAGACAGGTAATCTCCACTTTGCAAATCAGAAAACAGAGAGGTTGGGTTATGTGTCCAAGACCACCCAGCTAAAAAGTGGAGCATCCTGAACTGGAACCCAGTAAAGTTGACTCCAAACCTCTGGGTCTTTCCATTTGCTGTTCCACGTGGGCAAGGCCAGTGATGGGGGAGCAGGCAGGGGGCTTACTGCACCTTGGTGCTTGGTGGGATGTGGTCAGATTGGTGGGCTGGGGGCACCAGGCGGCTGATCTGGGAGTCCCGTGCCTCTGACTGGGCTACAGAGAGTTAAAGAAGCTTGGCCCCCTCCTCCTGCCCGCCTCTTCTGGCCTCCTCCTCTGGCTCTTCCTGTCCCGCTGCTGTTGCAACATCAGCCTCTGCCACTCTCTCTCTTCCCCTCCCACCTCCTCTCTCCTCTGTTTAATTCTCTCTGAGTACCCGGGACTCAGGCTCCAGTTCTGGCCTTTGGGGTTCGAGGTCACTGGGACTGGGTTGTGAGCTCCACCCCTGAATCTCAACCCCCAACCCCCTAACCCAAGGCACTCGGGACCTCCCGGACGGACGGACCTGAGCTTCCTAGGACGCCCGCCCGGCTGACGCTGCTGCTGCCACTGCCCTGAGCCCAGATGGGGGAGTGAGAGGCCACAGGTGGCCGGACATGGGCCTCCCCACCGTGCCTGACCTCCTGCTGCCACTGGTGAGTACAGGGGCAAGGGGAAGAGTGGGCTGGTGGGCGAGGTGCCACCTGGTGTGGTAGGCCCCCCAGGAGGCCGAGACTCCCTGCCGGGCCTGGCCTTGGCGCAGGCCTCAGGCCTGAACTGCCTGGGCGGGGAAAGGAGAAGTTTGAAAGGGAGAAAGTAAAAGGAAGCCCTGGCCCCTGACAGCCATGGAAGTTTGCGAGGTGTCTGCGATGTGGGGGCCGGCGATGGGCCCAGGATGGGGCAGATGTGGTGGGCAAGGAAAGCAGTGGGAGAAGGAAGGTCGGTCCTCTGGAAGCCCAGACGATTCAGCATTCCGTGCCCTGCTCAGCTGGCTGGCCTGGAGTGTGTTGGGGACGAGAGGCTGCCCGTGGAATCTGGCCGATAAGCCCTGGAGGGGTGGCAGTTGGACGGCTAGTGAAGTGGGGAAACTGAGTCCAGGAGAGGGGTGGGTTGGTGGGGTAGGTGTGAGATGCTATGTGGCGGGGGTATTTGGGAGTGGAGTGGGCAACTGGATGAGGACAGGGCAACCAAGTGGAGAGCGTCCCCAGTGCCCTGGCCAGGCCCAGGGCCTCCTGCCTGGGACTTTCTTCTGCCCCCTTTTGCCTCTCGCCCCGCTGCTAGGCAGGTGGCCTCTGTGAGGCTGACCCTTGCTAGGTAGCTAGCACCACCCCCACCTGGTCAGTGTCCCTCTGCCTGTCCTCCAGCTCCCCCAAGCCCCCACTGACCTAAACACGGATTCCTTAGTTTCTTATTCTACAGCTCAGTTTGGGGAAGTTGGTAGAGTTGTTTTCGTCACTGGAAAATGTCCCTTTCTCTGGCTTCAGCCTTGTTTCAGTGTATCCTTGATCCTCCTCTATGTCCTGGAATCATCCTGTCCAGATGCCCTGAGCCCACCTAGTTGGGTGGATTTTCCCTGCCCGTGTTGGCTGCTGAAGGCTGCGCCTGCCTCCTCCTCCCACCACTCCTTTCTTCCCCAATCATCTCGAACCCTTTCTCTCTAGTCCCCTTGTGCCTCCTCTCTTCTCTGCTCTGGCCTGTCAGTTCCCAGGCAGCACTTCTGTCTGTCTGTCATGGTCTCACTCTTCTCCTTCTCTCACCTCCTGCCTCCCCAGCCCCACCCCCTCTTCCCTCCCCCAGGCCCTCAACACCCGGCTGCCCTGGCATCTGGGGCCTCTGTTCTGTCTTTGGGAGTAGATCACCTGGATTCAAGCCCCCCCCTCATGTCACAGCTGCATGAACTTGAGCAGGTTATGTAACCCCTCCATGCCTTTGTTTCTTTATCTCTAAAATGGACATCATAGTCTATTGTTCTGAAGATTAAATAGATTGATATATGTTAAGTATTCTTTCAGTTTATTAAGTGCCTACTCTGGGCTAGACATTGTTAGGTGCTGGGATTACAGCAGTGAGCAAGATCCCTGCTCAGAGAGTTTACAGGCCATAGGAGAGTAGGGGACAGCAAACAGAAAGCACTCAGTAAATGGTTAGCCTTTATATTGTTGCTAGCAGTAGTCACAGTGGTAATTACTGGGTGGCTACCTGTGTTTGGAAAGCAGAGGGTAAAGGTAGCCTGAACAGGCAAAGGAAAGTGTCTGGGGACAGGGGTGCTTCAGCCTAGGTGGGGATGTGACTCCTAAGGGACAGAGCCCAGCCTGGAGCTGGGGGAGGGGAGAACAGGGGAGTGCATTGCCTGGATAGGGCTGTCCAGGAGGTTTTCAATTTCTCACCATCCAGTGGGCGATACCGAGCACACAGTGTGCGTGTTGGGGGAATGGGAGGTGGCGGGGGGAGTAGGGAAGGATGATACAGGAGAGAGTGTGACAAAGCAAACAGGATTTTGCTGCTTTCAAAGAACTTACAGTCTAGGAACCAAGACAGCATACAGCAAAAAATGATTTCACAACAGTCTGGAGGAGAATATCCATAAATGCATTGTGGCTCAGGCCTGTAATCCCAGCACATTGGGAGGCTGAGACGGGAGGATCACTTGAGGCCAGGAGTTCAAGACCAGCCTGAGCAACATAGTGAGACCCTTTCTTTACAAAACAGAAAAATTAGCCAGGTGTGGTGGTGCGTCCCACTAGTCGCAGCTACTCTGGAGGCTGAGGCAGGAGGACCTCTTAAGCCCAGGAGTTTGAGGTTGCTGTGAGCTACGGTGATGCCACTGCACTCTAACCTGAGCAACAGAGTGACACTCTGCAGGCGCTTCCCCATGCTGTTTCAGGTGACCTTAGCCACGAGCCCAGAGCACTCCCTGCATAGATCTTAGGGATCTTAGGGTCTGCAAATGACTGTCTTGGACCTAAGTAAGAACTCTTGAGAGCACAAGGAGTGTGTTATCCATCTTGGCATCCCCAGCACCCATATGGGACCTGGCACATAGACTGTGCCCCTTAACTATTTGTTGAATGAAATAAGGAACAAGGTCAGATGGCATGAGGAAGGGAAAGCCTCATAGAAAAGTGGATTTGGAACTGACATCTGAAGTCACTGCCTGGCAGGGAGGCTAGAAAGGAGGGAGGCAGAAGAGACTGTAGACTGATTTGAGGGAGAGGAAAGGAATGCAGAGATGGGATTTTGTGTTGATCGGTGGGGGTGGCAGGAAGCAGAGCACCTTGGCAGGAGTGGAAAGACCACGTTGAGGAACACTAAGAAATGGGAATGTGAAAATTGGAGGGAGTTGGGAGGGGATGGAGAAAGAATCTTGAATATGGTTCCAGGTAGAGGAATTCATTCATTAATTCACTCAGAAACTATCCTCCGAGGGCCCGCTCTGTGCCTGGACTGTGTCCAGAAGAGAAACGAGGTATCTCTGTAAGTGCTCCTTTGGGTCATTTCCATGACCCATGGAAATGATGTTTGAAGTCAGGGCCTGGAGATGGAGAGGCAGATTCACACACCTGTGGGTGCAAGTCGAAGCCTGAACGCAGATAAGAAAGTACGTAGGATGGATTGGGACGGGAAGGAGTCTGGAAGGCACTTGCAATATTGCAGGTGTGAGGTAAGCCAGGGACGTGGAGAGATCACAGGGGAAGGATTGGCAAGATGAACCGGCAGACAGGTTGGCTCCGAGGAGAGAGGGTGGCAAAAGTCTTGGCATTGAGCCGAGCTCTGTGGCTTGAGCCTGTAGTCCCAGCTACTTGGGAGGCTGAGGCGGGAAGATCGCTTGAGCCCAGGAGTTTGAGAGCAGCCTGGGCAACACAGCGAGACCCTGTCTCAAAAGACAAGGAAAAAAAGATATGCTTTGGCGTGGATTTTTAATACTAAAAAAAGAAGTAAAATTAAAGAAAAAAGGTCTTGGTGTTGGTGCTAAGAAGTTGGTGGTGTTACATTTGTCTGGGCGAGGAGATTGATCAATTCTATTTGGGACGTGTCAAGGGCCCGGGGAATAGCCACCTGGAAGTGTGTCTCGCAGAGACCCTCAGGCTGCGTTCTGCCTTGCTCACTTGCTGTGCTGCCTTCACTCCTCCGTGGTTTACAAAAGGAGGGGATCACATGTCAGAATCTTCAGAAAGGGCATGTGTGTGTATGTGCATGTGTGTGGGAGGTGGTGGATAGTTTGAAACCTCTTCTCTGGAGATAAATGTATTCCTAAAGGGCATGGTGCAGTGGGAGGTGCTGTCTCCCCACCTCCCCCTTTGGGAATCATTGGCTGCCACTGGAGTGGAAGACAGGTCAGTCATTAGATCAAGCGATCAAATCATACACATTTTTTAAGAGGTGGGGTCTCGCTATGTTGCCCAGGCTGGAATGCAGTGGCTTTTCTTAGGTGCTACCATAGCTTACTGTAGCCTGGAACTCCTGGGCTCACGCCATCTTCCTGCTTCAGCCTCCAGAGTAGCAGGGACTACAGGTTTGCGCCACCATGCCCGGCTAAATCAATTCGTGTTTATCTGCTCCTTCAGTTCTGGAGGCCTCGTTCTGGGTACTGAGAGAAGACCAGGGAAGGATGAGACACTGTCAGATCAAGACACTCTCTGATCTCTCATCTCATAGAGTTCATGGTCAACTTGGGGAGATCATATCTACTCATTCAAAATAACCATATTATGATAACAGCCCAAAGTAGATAGGGTCAATTCATGTGATTCAAGTTCACCCAGGGCCCAGCGGTCTAATGAGCTTGGGGGAAGGCGGGTCATCACTGGAGGGCTTCCTGGGAGGGGGCTGGGGACTCAGCTGGGCCCTTGAGGAGAGGCTGTCCTGAGCTGCCCGAAGATCTTGACATTAAATGAGCAAACACATTTTAACTTAGTGAACACATTCACGCAGGGAAGGGAACAGCTTAGTGGGTCCATGCGAGGTGGCTGGGTCAGGGTTAGACCACAGGGTCGTCTTAGCTTCTCCACCCAACTCAGCAGCCCCAGCACAGGAAGTCACACTTTAAAGCCTCCCCTGGCGGAAGTTGTGGGGGAGTTGGAGGTGTACTGGGCCGCCCCCTCAACAGTCTCTCCACAGGCACCCCTGGCTTCCTGCCCTTCCTCTGCTCCAGGCTGCGGTCTGGGCTCCAGAGCTCACCTCCTGTTTCTGCTGGTCTGCTGCACAATGCCACCCTCCCACCCTGGTGCCCACTGGTGGGGAGCCCGAGGGCCCTGGCTCCCAGCGGTCAGAGAGGGCTGGGGAACGGTGCTGGGCCCGGCTGACAGCCCTCTTGCCTGCCCTCTCATTCCTGGAAGTGGGTGTTCAGGGCTTCGCAGATTTTCCTGTGCTGCAGAGAGCTTGGGGGAGGGCTGTGGAGACTCAGAACTGGCCTTATTTCCTAAGGATTGTCTGGGGACCCCAGGGAGGCCCTCAGACCAGCCAGGCTGTGGGAATGCGGTGAACCCAGGGTGGGAGGGCGGCCTTGGTTTGCTTCCTGCTGGAACTGGGGAGTGCTGGGGGCTGGAGGGAGAGCCCAGGGAAGGGGTTAGCAATAGACTTGCTGAACCGAGAGGAGGAGCCAGGCGGCTGTTCTAAAGGAAGGATGCTCTGGGGCCAGGAGCTGAGAGGCCCTCAGGGAGGGGTGGGTACTGACTTGGTGTCGGAAGCCAGGGTCGAGGGAGACTTCCTTTGGGATGGAGCGGGCAGAGGGAGGCATTTCCTGGAATACGAAATATGTGGGCCTAGTGGGACAGGGGTCCACGTCCACCACCTGGCTCTTTTAGGGGGAAGGGGATGGAAGGGGGCCCTGAGAGGGGATGGAGGGAGGGACCGGCCCACAGGAGGAAGGGATCAGATGGGGTCCCACTGCTGGCTGGGCCCTTCTGCCTTTCTGCTGACTCATGACCCTTGAGGAGCTGGGGAAGCTGCTAGTTCCCGCTCCCTCCCTGAGATCTGCCTCCCTCTGGCCTGAGTCACTGGGGCGGAGCTGCTGGGAAAAGATTTCCCTTTCCCGGATCTGACTTAACCCCCACAGTGCTGGAGAGGGCGGGGACCACATGGCCTGTGAAAGCCTCTCTCCCCACCTCCCTGCAGGGAGGCTGTCCCTCACTGGTCAGAGGCCCCTGAAAATCTCCCTCCAAGGCTGTCCTGCGACTGGAGCCCCCGGTTCTTCCTGACTCTGTCTCTACCCGTTGGCTCTGCTCCAAGCCCCCTGCAGGGGATTCAAAGTGCCAATGACCTTAGGTGCTCCAAGTTCCTCTTCTTCAGGGAAAGGATTCCCACTTTCAGGATTGGGATGTTCTTCCCATAATCACCCCAAACCTTCCTGTTGCCCTGGAAGCCCCGGTCCTGTTCTCAGGGGAGGTAGCACAGTGCTGGCTGGCGTGGGCTGGGGAAGGTCGCTGCCCTCAGAGCGGGGAGCACACCCTGCCCTCGGGGGCTGCTGCTCCTTTCTGTGTGCAGCTTCCCTTGTTTGTGGCTGAGGCCGGGGCTTCTGTGCCTGCCCAGCTGCAGCTGCAGCGGCTCCCAGTGGGTGACTCAGGGTGAGACCAGCCTGCCTGTCCTTGTGGGCTGCCTGGCCTTCCTTTCCTGCTCTGGGGTTTCTGTGATCTGATTATTCTGTTGCTCCCCAATGTTGAACATACTTTGAGGACATCCTCTTATCCTTATATAAAGTGGCTCTTATAGCAGAGGAAAAAAAAAATCAAGGCCCAGGGAACACCAAAAATGAAGCTGGCAGAGATCAAAGAGCAAAGTCTGAGTTGGAGCTAAATACTCACTCCTGGCTTTGCTATCCCCGTGCTGAAGCCAGAACAGGGCAAGCTATTTAGCTGTTGTGGGCTTGGCCTGAGGCTGTAAGACATGCCTTCCAGAATGCCCTGGGGTGCAGAGAGCTTCAGGACTCCCTGGCACAACCGGAGCTGTGACCTGCAGGTCATTTGCGCCAGGCCACCAGCCTCGGCCAGCTCTAGCTGCGTGTGACCTGCCTGCTTTTACCCTCTCCTGCCCCCACCTCAACTTTGTCACCCACCTACCCCATCCGGGACCCTTGAACTCTCCCTTTTACTCCCCTCCCCATTTGCCCTTGCCAACCTGGGGTGTCTGTGTAAATTTGCAGTGGAAGGGGCTGGGGCACAGAGTGTGAGGGCAGGATCCGGAGTAAGGTTTGACACAAATGTGTAAAGAAACTCTTCCTTTTGCTCCTTCCCAATCCCCAGAATGGTGCCCACAGGAACCTCGGTCTGAGTTTTTCAGAAAACTTTTTAGCGGTAGAACATAACCCAGGGGAGCGCGCAGATCCTAGTTGTTCTCCACTGTGAATGCTCACGAAGCGAACACACTGGGAAGCCAGCACTCGGGTGGAGAAACACCAACCCAACCTTTAGGGCTGTATGTTGGAAGAAAGGGCCATAATCGAAGTCACCTGCCAGTTCCCAATGGAAAAAGCATCCCTTGAACATCCAGCACTGTTAGCTGCCGAGGGGAACTCAGAGTAAGGGGAAAACGCAGCTGGGCCTGGGGCCCAGCGGCCTTGGGACAGCTAGAGAAGAAGCAAGCACGAGATCGTGGTGCCAACTGTCTGAGTTTCAAGGAAGAACTCTGAACTCAGTGAGCAGGGGTGGCCTGAGGAGAGTGTGTCACTCAGGAAGGACTTGCGCTGGGGAAGTTTTAGCTTTGCTGCCTCTGGGACTCCCACCCCTGCCTCTCCTGACGGTGTCCCCTTTATCTGGTTCCTCCCCAGGTGCTCCTGGCTCTGCTGGTGGGAATCCACCCCTCGGGGGTCATTGGACTGGTCCCTCACCTCGGGGACCGGGAGAAGAGAGATAGTCTGTGTCCCCAGGGAAAATACAGCCACCCTCGTAATAATTCCATTTGCTGTACCAAGTGCCACAAAGGTAGGAGAAAGCAGAGACCCCAAACACCCTGGGTTACGGGCCCTGATTCTCCCTTCGCTTGTTCGAGATGTCGTTTCCTAGCTTTGCTGCCACTGCTGGGCTGAGGTTTTCTCCCTCCTTCCTCTCCTAGAGCCTCGGGGAGTTGGTTCTCCCCGGCGAGGGGCTCCTCCCTTGAGCTCTCACCTGAGCCTAGCCTGCTCCCCGATTCACAGGAACCTACCTGCACGATGACTGCCCAGGCCCGGGGCTGGACACGGACTGCAGGGAGTGTGAAGACGGCTCCTTCACCGCGTCAGAGAACCACCTCAGACACTGCCTCAGCTGCTCCAACTGCCGAAAAGGTGAGCGTGCGTGGTCTGGAGGGTCAGGTGGGTCTTAAGGGGTGTGTGTGTGCAAATCGGTGCGTACGTGGGGCAGCGTGCTACACTGTGCGTGCTGCAGAGACACACACGGCGGGGGCGGATCCGGAGGGGACACAGGGGAAAGGTAAGCGGAGTGAATGTGGAGAGGGGCACGCAGGACTCACACCCCATCTCCTCCCCTCACCAGAAATGGGCCAGGTGGAGCTTTCTCCCTGCACTGTGGACCGGGACACCGTGTGCGGCTGCAGGAAAAACCAGTACCGGAGGACTTACGGGAATTCCAGGAGCGAAAGCCTGTTCCAGTGCCTCAACTGCAGCCTCTGCCTCAACGGCACCGTGCATCTCCCCTGTGAGCATGGCTCTCCCACCCTGGGTCGGCCCATCTCTCAGGAGGAGGTCTCCACCTTTCTGCGCGCCTCTCCTTGAGGCAGTCCTCCTGTTCCTTCCCACTCCTGGTGCCCCCCGCCCCTTCCTCAGTCCTTTAGCTGGGCTGCGCTTCTCTCCCCCCAGGCCAGGAGAGACAGAACACCGTGTGCACCTGCCATGCAGGGTTCTTCCTGCGAGGAGACGAGTGTGTCTCCTGCAGTAAGTGAGTATCTCTGCCAGCTTCTGGGCACTGCGTGGGGGGCGAGGGGCGGGATGGGGTGGCTGTGGCCAGGAGCAGGGCAAAGGAAACACCCCAGGGTGCTCAGGCACCTACTGGCCGAGTGGGAGACACTTCATTAAGATACCAGACAGTCTCTCCCCCTCCCCCTCAACTTGTTCCTCAAATCTTAAGAAGTCTTTGGGGACTAAAGATCACACCCCGAGGACCTGCAGTCCTTCTAACTTAGATATTCAGATTCTTGGGCGACAGGGTCTAATATAGTTCATTGATTCTAGGACACACACTTTCACATCTCTGAAATGAGACCACATCTTCCAACAATTGATGATCTGTCATGGTTTAATTGGCAGCTTTGTGTGTGTCTATGTGATATGTAAACAATGGTGCCTTCTGTTACTGACGGCATCTGAGGTTGGATGCGATATGATATTTCCTCCCCAGCCCCTTTGACCAGGCCTCCTCACTCCTGGCTCTGCACAGGCTGTTCTGGTACATTCACTTGCAGAGAAACTCTGAGGGCTCTTAGAGTTGAACTGACCTGGGTTTGAAGCCCAGCCTAGCCACTGTGTGACCTTGGGCAAATTCCTCAACATCTCTGAGCCTTATTACCCTTACTTTTAAAGTAAGGATAGTCACATTCATTTGGTGAAGTTTTGAGAACCACAAAAAATACCTACGATAGTGTCTGACACAAAAGCTATTTATTTTCTAGTTTTTCCACCAAGCTTCATTTCTTCTTGAAAGTGCTTTTACGTCCATCCCATGTGGTTCTCTTCATGAACTTGGGAGGTGGGCGGAAGTGCCCCTTCCTGCTTTCAGTTGCTGTTGAGAACTCCCCTTCTCAAGGTCCTTCCAGCCGCAACCCCCGCCCCCCGCCCCTGCATGTAGTTCTCACCCCCCCACATCTGGAAGATGGGCTGGTTCCAGAGTGCTCTCTGGCTGCCCCTAGTGACAGGTGTTTTTATTAATAACATGTTCACATGCATGTTTGACCCGTCCCCAAAGTCAGGTACTGTAACTAGCAGTGTCCTTTGAGAAAAAGCCCTTTAGCCTCTTTGCCACAGGATTCTCATCAGTAGACAATGATAAAATAATTCAATAACAGCTACCATCTGTGGAACACTTACTATGTCAGGCATAATTATGTTACTTAATGATCTTTGTTGTACTGATGAGAAAACTGAGGCTTAGAGGTTAAATGCCTTCCTTAGAGCCAGACTGCTAGCCAATGAATGGGCTGGAATTTTTTCCTTGACTTGACTGCTTTTAACTTTTTGCTATACAGCCTTTGAAAAAGTCCTTCCAATTCTAAAATTAAATGATTCTGTGATTAACTGTGTTTCATTTTCTTTTGCATCAGTTCCTGGGATAGGTTAAATTTCATTATATGGAGAGACAGTAAAAACATTTGTAAAGCAAAGGATGTCCAACAATCTGTGTTCTTTGTCTGTGTTCCTCCAGTGGTAGGGCCTCTGCTCACCAATGCCATCTCTTCTTTTAGCTGTAAGAAAAACCCGGAGTGCACGAAGTTGTGCCTGCCCCTAACTGAAAATGTTACGGGCCATCAGGACCCAGGTGAGGAAACATGACTGGGTGCCTGTGCCTGCCGACACCCTGCCTCACCACCCTCCCCTCCGCCTACCCACCCCTGTCCTCTGACGGCCATCTGCTTGGTCTCCAGGCACCACAGTGCTGTTGCCTCTCGTGATCTTCTTTGGTCTTTGCCTTTTATCCTTCCTCTTCATCGGTTTAATGTGCCGCTACCCGCGGTGGAAGCCCAAGCTCTACGGCATTAGTGAGTGGGGCCCTTGGGAGGGGAAAGGTGCTGGCGGGGATGTGGGAGGAGGTGGGTGGGTGAGGTGGACACCGTGGAGGGAGGTGAGGAGTGTCCCCTTCGTTCCCTGCTGAGGACCCTGTGGGCAGGAGGTGGCCTGGGCAGCTGGTGCGAAGTCATGCTGCATCAGTAGTTCTCTCGTCCCTGGGGCCACATAGGCCCTGAGGCATGTCACCACAAGTCCCCATTGCCTGCCCCAGTACCCCGTGCCAGGGCTGAGAAGGGAAGTGAAATTTACCATGTCTTGCTTTTTGTCCCCCTCCCCCTCAGTTTGTGGGAAATCGGCACCTGAAAAAGAGGTAAGAGTGAAACCAGGCACCTGTCCCAAGTCCCCTGCCTGTTCCTTATAACCTTGTAATACCAAAATCGCTTGGAATCACCCTTCATCTGCGCAGCTCCCCGAATTCCCTCTAACCCAACCCCCGCTTCCCCCACTAATGCTGTGCCGTCTCTCTTTCAGGGGGAGCTTGAAGGAATTACGACTAAGCCCCTAGCCCCAGCCCCGGGCTTCACTCCCATCCCCTGTTCCACCTTCACCTCCAGCTCCACCTTCACCCCCAGTGACTATTCCAACTTCACGGCTGCGTCACTCCCTAAAGAGGTGGCCCCGCCCCACTTGGGGGCTGACCCCATCCTCGCCACCGTTCTCGCCCCCACCCCGATCCCCACCCCCCTTCAGAAGCCGGAGGACTCCACGCCGCCGCCGCGCGCAGACGGTGAGTTCCCCGCACCGACGCGCTGGGGGTGCGGGGCGCGCGTGGGGGTGCGGCCGCCGCCCGCGGCTCACCAACGCGCGTCCTCCGCAGCCGACCCCGCGACGCTGTATGCCGTGGTGGACGGCGTGCCCCCGTCGCGCTGGAAGGAGTTCGTGCGGCGCCTGGGGCTGAGCGAGCACGAGATCGAGCGGCTGGAGATGCAGCACGGCCGCTGCCTGCGCGAGGCGCACTACAGCATGCTGGCGGCCTGGCGGCGGCGCACGCCGCGGCGCGAGGCCACGCTGGAGCTGCTGGGCGGCGTGCTCCGCGACATGGACCTGCGCGGCTGCCTGGAGGACATCGAGGAGGCGCTGTGCGGGCCCGCCTCCCTGTCGCCCGCGCCCCGCCTCGCCCGGTGAGGGCGCGCTCCCACGGGCGGCCGGAAGGACGGTCCTGCCGGATGTCCCCGGGACCCCGTCGTCTCCTGGAGAGGAAGAGTCTCGGAGGGGCAGGCATGAGCCGGCAGCCGCTTACTTGGCGCTACCCCCGCGGCGTACATAGCTCTTTTCAGCTGCCCGAGCACCGCCGAGAGTCAGCGGGTGCGCGGGAGAGAGGCGCGCTGCGGGCCGTGTGTGCGGAGACGCGGAGTGTGCTAGCTGCCCGAGCGGGTGGCTGCGGGGACAAGGGGCGCTATGCCTCGTACCCATCTTGGGTGTGAGGGCCCAGCAAGGCTGCTGGGGGGGACCCTGGCTCGTCCCTGACCTTTTTCACAGTAGATAAGCAATCTTTTTTTAAAAAAATCAATTATGTTACACTAATAGAAACTTGGCACCCCTTTGGCCCTTGCCTGGACGAGCACAGAACAAGCTGAACTGTCCTAAGGCGGGGGCAAGCACGGAACAATCGGGCCCCGGCTGGAGCTGTGGACTTTTGTAAATACACTAAAACTCTGGAATTAAAGCTCTGTCCGTGGAGGGAGCGGTCTGTCGGTGGGAGGCTGGGGCAGAGGCAGGGATCCGCAGCGGTGGGATGGGAAGAGCCCTGCGCTAGGGCAGGCAGCCCACCACCAACACGCCAGCTGACAGAGGTGGCCCCTGGGAACCCAGGTGCTCATTCTTCCCACCCTCCTCCCACACTGGGCAGTCATTTTTATGCACAACTTTATGTAGGGCTCAGGGGTGTCTATGGTACATAAATTTACATAAATTTACAGTTCTTGATCCCCGAAGTCTGGGGCAGGAGGCAGGGTGCCTGGGCCAGGCTTCTTGGTGGGAAATGTGGTCTTTGAGGTAGAGTCTGGGGTGGGGGTGGTGACCAGCACTCCTAGGGGGCGATTTCCTCCGGGAGAAAAGCCGGAGGTCCTCAGCGTTCCTCACACCTCTCTGAAAAGACAGGACACAGGTGTTAGGCAAAGGGCGACAGCAAGGAGGGAGAGACACTGAGGGCCCTCCCCTGCCTGGGCCCTGCTCTGGCATAGCCCTCCTTCTACACCGCCCCCCAGACAGCCTCCCTCGCACCCCGTCCTTCTCCAGTGTCCCTTCGGCACTTACGACGTGGAGAGGGGAGTGTCCAGCTGTACGACGTCGGGCCCCCGCATCCTCTGCAGCTGGGCCCAGGTCAGCTTCCGAGGCCTGCTGTCCCTGGGCTCTGGGGCCCCCTGGATCCTTTGGGTGGCCAGCTCCTCGCGGATCTCTCTGAGCATGTCCTCTCTGAGCATGTCCACCTCCTGGGCCCGCAGCGGGTGTGGGGAGGGGGTGCGGCCTTGTCCCAGGAAGAGAGGCCCCTCATTTTCCTCGTCCCCTGAGGACTCCCAGGGGCTTTCCCCGGCAGAGTCAGTGTGGGCTGGAGAGTGGGGGAGCTGCCCCCGAAGTCGGGCCCGGTGCAGGGTTTCCACCACCACGTTCCCTCCCACCGAGGCCCCATCTTCTTCCTCGGACCAGGCCGGTGGGTCTACCCTGGAAAGACTCCCCCCTCTTCGGATCCCTTCGGGCAGTTCGGGCACACTTCGGCGTTGAGGAGCTTGGGGGTCCGGAGGTTGGGGGCGCAAAGGAACATCTCGGAGGTCCAGGGTGGAGAAGGTGAGGCGAGGGTCCCGCCGAAGGGCCCTCTGGCGTAGACGACTCAGTGGGGAGGGCGACCCCTTGGGGGAGCCTGGGATCAGAGTGCCGTAGCCAGAGTCTGAGGTGTCATCTGGTACAGAGGGAGCGTCTTCATCTGTGTCTTCCGTCACCACCAGGTGGGGGATGATAGCCGAAAACACAGAAGTCCTACGATTAACAGCAAATAGTGTCAGATGCTTCAGGTTCAAGTTCAAGTCCAGGAGTCTCCCTTCCCTGTATCTCCTTCCCATTGCCCTGGGATTGTTGTTCTCATCTGGCTGGCTATGCTGCAAGCTCCTAGAAGAGCTCAGGCTGCCTCTAAGCCATTTTATCCACAGCACCTGGTCCAGGACCTTGTATCCGGTAGCTGGGCAGGCATTTGCTGAGTGGTTCCTGAGCTCCCTTGAGGTCAGCCCCCGTGACAGATTCTTCTTTTCTCCTTAACCATCCTGCTGAGCAGCTGTGTTGTCATGGATGAACAGCTCACACTCTGGGGATCTGGACTAGCTGGATCCTGGCAGCTCTGATACTCTACAAGGCCATACCCCACTTCGCTGTCCAGCCTGCTCCTCAGGGAGGTCACATGTTCCCCGAGGCTGGCCGGCCCTGTAGCCTGTCCCACATACCCCTTCACATGGCTGGTGCCAACCTGCAGCCTGCGTTGCTCTGCGTATTGCCAATTCCTCCCAAAAACCGTAGTGCCATTTCTCAGCCTTTTGTGTTCCTCCTCTCCTCCTCCCTGCCTGCGGGCCCCCTACTTTGGGAGACCGAGTGGTCCGTGTGGGTCTTACCTGCCCTCTGCGCTGCTCTGAGAGCCCTCCGGGGAAGGCGTGGAGGGCCGGGTGCTGGGGCACTCCCTGTCCTGGTCCCGAAAGAGGGCCAGGAGCTCCCTCTTCTGTTGGACGTACTCCTCTGCTTTCAGCTTCTGTAGGGTGACCTGGGGCAGGGACACTTTCATTATTAAGAGCTCTTATTTATTGAGCACTTGCTGTATGCTAGGCACCATGCTAAGTGCTTACATACATTATCTTATTTAATCTTCACAACAACTCTGTGAGGCAGGTATTTTTACCCCTGCTTTACTACTGAGAAATGGAGTCTCTAAGGTTACATAACTGCCCAGGGGTACTTCTTACAGTAAGAAAGTGGGGTGGTGCCAGGATTTGGTGGAGCCAAACTCTAGAGCTGGTGTCAGGGCTGGGTGGGATGAACAGAATGCCCCTTTTCCTACCTATACAGTTCTTCCTGCTCCTCATGCCCCCTTGGCAAACCCTCTATCAGCTCTGCCCCCTCCTTCAGGAAGCCCTCCTGGATTGGTGGTGATGGTGGTGTAAGTGCTCTGGACTCGTACTGGGTCCTCAGGTTGCCCCTTCAAGAGCATCCCTCTCCTACCACCTGGGTCTCTGCCCTGAAGGTGGGAGGAGAGGAAGGTAGGTGGGCAGGAGCAGGCTTTGTCTTGGGCTGAGGACTCTGCTGTCCTTCAGAGGGACAGGATTGCTGTCCCTAGAAGGATGAGGAGAGGACACATTATATCGTCTGTTTTCCTCCCTCAACATCTTCATGCAGGTGCCAGCAGAATAAAATAGTGCCATCTGAGTAGTGCTTTTCAAAGCACCTTCACATGCGTGTGGTCACTGAATACACGCCATTGCCCTGCAGTGTGCAAAGCGTGGATCTTCGCCCGCTTTACAGATGAGAAAAGTAGACTTAGAGCGATAAAGTGACTTGCTCAGGCTCCAACAGGCAGAGAGAAGCAGAGCTGGGACTGGGCCTTGCTCTTTGAGTCCCAGTTCAGCAACCACACCGCTTTTGAAGGGCAGCCCTGCAGGGTAAAGGGTTCCTGAAGGACAATAGCTTGGGGAGGGGAGAGAAGGCTGTGGAACCCGAGGAGAGGAGGTAGGTGGAGGCTTGGCAAGGGGAGGCAGAGGGGGCTGCTGTGGGCAGCACTGTTACCGGTCCTCACTGCTATGGCCGTATCATCGTTAAAGTATTGAAATGCTTCCATGCTGGCCAGGACATGGCTGCTGCCTGGGCCTCCCCACTTCCCGGCCATCCCCCACCCCCACCCAGTAATCTAGCAGCTAGAGGGCTGACACCTGGCACAGCAGAGGACCTCTAGCAGCCCGCCCCTGCACGGCGCTGGATTCTGACTGGCTGGCGCTCAGGCCGTCCTAGTCAGATATGTTTAACCTCTGCCCAGCTTGACGGATACAATCCAGCAACTGCTGGCACCTGACTTTCCCAGAAACACTGGGGCAGCCGGGTCAGGACAGCAGACGTGCTGGGGAAGTGCGCGGACAGGGATAGGAAGATGACATCAGTTCTCCCTCCCAGGCTCTCCAGTCACTCATCTTGGGAGTGGTGGTAGCACGAGGGTCCTCAGCAGCCTCAGAAGATGTGGTCTGTTGGCTGGAGCAGGGGGTGGAGCTGGGGGCAGGAAACCAGCAGGCCAGGGCCAGGCCCCGACTCCCCTTCCCTAGGCTGCATCTCCCAGCTCAGTGTGGAGCAAGAAAGGGGGGTGAGCAGCTGGAGTGGCCTGCTCGTCCTGCCGACGTGCCCTGCCCTGTTGCCCCCCAGGGCCCAAGTGCAGCCCCGTGTTTGGGATGCCCAGGACGGAGCTAGTGTGCGGAAGAAAAGAACGGGAAGGCTGGGGGCTTTCTGTGAGGACCAGCAGTGCCAGCATCTCCACTAAACTTGTCACATGCCACCCTACCCGGGAAGGGGCGGGGAGGTTGGGGGAGCCTTGTGCTCTGGGGGCCTGTTTGAAGTGCCCCCAGCCACCCCAGAGCCTCTCCAGCAACCCTGGGGAATCTTCTCAGCTCAGATGGGTAAGACGAGAGAGGCACATGGGGGAGGACGCCAGAAAAGGAAGAGGAAATTGGTGCCTGAGCTGGAACGCGATCCCCCCTTGAAGCTGGGAAGAGGAAGGGAGGCAGGATCCTTCTTCCTTTGTTTGGTGACAAGGAAATGCCTCCTCTCCCTCCTGCCCTTGGGGCAGTGCCCAGAGTCACTCGCTCTCCCCGAAGAGCTCCCCAGTGCTGAACTAAAACTGATCTCTAGAAGGTGCCCCCTGAGTTCCTGAGCGACAGACCCTATGCCCTTCCCCAGTCAGCCTTGGGCCCTGCCCAGGAACCATCGGCCACTCAGTCCAATGATGACAAGGTCGAACATTTGTGGGGTGTCCATGAAGTGCTGAGCGTTGTGCCAAGCCGTTCACCAACACTATCCTCCCGTCTGTGTGGCATGGCAGTTACCCTCAGCACTGAAATTCCCCGGACAAGGCCAGATTCAAAGAAGGGAAGTAACCCCGCCGGGAACGCGGATTACACGGGCCACAGCCCCGCGGCTCAGACCCTGGCTCTTACTCTGGGCTGTCCGAAGAAGACTCGCCTGCTTTAATGTCTTGGCTTCTGTCTCTGACAGCTCTTTCTGTTCCCATCAGTGGTTCCTTTTCCTCTTCCCAGCCCACCCACGTGGGCGTTCCCCAAGATTCAGTCTCTTCCCCCTAGAGAAGCTCATTTTCTCTGAAAGAGCAACCCATGGCAGCTAGACCCACCAGAAACAAATCTACAGGGCAGCATTTCTGCAAGGGGAGAAAACAGTGGTCTGACCCTGGGGATTGCTCTATGGAGGGGCCCAGTGGATATGACTGACGGCTCTACAGAGAAGATCCCCTAAGCATGTGGTACGAGACAATGGCAGGAAAACTAATTGCAAAGTTGCAGGCCTCTTTGTTTTACTGGCTGGGGAGCCTCCATGTACATCTTGGTTATAGATTTCTTTAGACCTTTCCTGTTCACCTGGGGCTGGGCGGGTTGTGCTAAATTATTTTGCATAGGCAATTTTTAGTGGCCGCTGGGGGTTCTAAAGGGAGAAGGTGAAGTGGGGGTTTGTCGTGGGAATCTAAGGGAGAGGAGAAAGTTCTGAGGGTGCCTGCCAGTAATGGGCTCTAGGAACACTGATGCTACTAGCTTCCGCTTTTGTCCTCGAGCCCCGGCCTTCAGGAAATTCGATGAATCACGAGGATGGTGTTAGTTGACAGTCAGTCGAGGCTGGGGAAAGTGTGTTCAGACTTGGGCAGGGGTGGTGGAGAGAGGCCTCTGCCATGCAGAGAGGGGATCAGGAACTGAGCCGGGAGCAGTGCTCAGGCCAGATGGGACCACCCTCTCCACAAAACCCACAGGCCTCCCCTGCTCGCCCCCTACCTTTGGCTTCCTGGGGACTGTCACCATCCTGCTTAGGTATTCAAGGAAGCTGAAGCCCTGCAGGGCTGGAAGACACAAGACCTTGAGGTTCCGGCTTCCATCCTTACTTCTCACCTGAACTGCAGGCCTGTTTCCATAGTTCCCAAAGCCGCTAAGACATCTCCACTTGCCTGTCTCCTGCTGCCTCAATTTCCCAGTGCTTCTGTTTAAAATGAAATATTCCTACCCCGGTCCCACCCTTCCCAGGAAGTAGTGACTAAACCAACAGGTTTCCTTTTCTGTCAGGGGTCCCCTTGGCGATGCAGACTTCCACCCAGAGACTTCAGGAGGCCACTCATCCCCTCCGTCCTCCCGCCGCTGAGCCCCTGAGCACGTGCGAGCGCTGGCTCGGGCTGTGTGCCTGGTCGGGATGGTTTCTTAGAGTCTCCCCTATGGGGCAGGGGATGGTTTCTTAGAGTCTCCCCTATGGGGCAGGCGCTGTTATTGTTTGTATCTGCTTTGCAGCCGGAGAAACTGAAGCTGAGGGAGGCCGCATAATGTACCCAAGGTCACACAGCCAGCACCTGGTGGGACTGGCGTCTAAACTCAGATTTTTCTTTTTTTTTTTTTGAGACAGAGTCTCACTCTCTTGCCTGGGCTAGAGTGCCGTGGCGTCATCCTAGCTCACAGCAACTTCAAACTCCTGGGCTCAAGCGATCTTCCTGCCTCAGCCTCCCGAGTAGCTGGGACTACAGGCATGCGCCACTATGCCCGGCTAATTTTTTCTATATATTTTTAGTTGTCCAATTAATTTCTTTCTAATTTTAGTAGAGACGGGGTCTCGCTCTTGCTCAGGCTGGTCTTGAACTCCTGAGCTCAAAGAATCCGCCCGCCTCGGCCTCCCAGAGTGCTAGGATTACAGGCATGAGCCACCGCGCCCGGCCTAAACTCAGATTTTTCTGAATTCAGTGTAGGCTCTAACCGCAGTCTCACCCCCATCTCTTCCCTCTCCTTTATTTCTTCTTTCCCCCCTCTTTTTTTTTTGGATGTCTCCCTAAGGTACCAAACCTTCAATGTTTCACACAGAAACTAGTACAACAAGCTGCCACCAATCTCTCCCTCCTCCAGCCCACCTATGCACGGCTACCAGATTCCCTGAAAACCCAGTTCAAGACAAAATACGCTGATTTCACCGTGTCATTCCCTGCTCAAGCGTTCACGGCGACTCTCTCTTGTCCGCCTTATTCAACATGTAGGCCACGCGCCACTGCAGCTCTGAGGTCCTATGGGACCTGGCCTCTCCCCACTTGAGCACACAGACCCTGTGCTCCGGACTCACACAGATGTGGTCACTGTCCCCAGAATAAATCCAGCCCAACTGTGCCTCTGATTCCTCTGCTCTTGGTCCTTCCCATCCTTAAAAGTCCAGTTCAAATCTTCACCCTTCGTAGGCCATGCTGCTCCTGTAGTGGCCTGCACAGTGGCCCGCAAAAAGATATGTCCAACTCCTAACCCCTGGAACCTGTCAATGTGACCTTATTTGGAAAAAAAGGGTCTTTGTAGATGGGCAAAAATCCTGAGTTAAGGATCTCAAGATGAGGTCTTCCTGGATTTAGGGTGGGCTCTAAGTCTAATACTGGTGTCTTCATAAGAGAAAGGAGAAGGAGATTTGGACACAGAGACACAGAGAGGAAGGCCATGTGGAGACAGAGGCAGAGATTGGAGTTTTGCTACCACATGCCAAGGAACAGCTGGAGCCACCAGAAGCTGGCAGAGGCAAGGAAGGACCCTCCCCAGAGCCTGGGAGGAAGCTCGGCTCTGCCAACACCTTGATTTCGAACTTCCAGCCTCCAGAACTTCAAGAGAATTCATTTCTATTGTGTTTTAAGCCAACAAGTGTGTGGTATCCGATACAGCTCCATTTGGCTCTCTCTTCTTTTGAACTCCTCCTGCCTTTATCACATAGATCTGCCCATGTCATTGCCCTGCCTAACGCCTCCAGTGACTCGGTCATCTGTAGGACAAAGTTCACATTCTTCAGCGTGGTGTCCCGAGGTGGGCATGATTTGGTGGTACCTACCTGCCAGCCTCTCTCCTGCTGCATCTGCCCTTGTACTTTATGCCCTAGTGATACGGAACTGCCATGTGGCGGTTCTGTCAACACGCACAACTGTTTCACATTTCTGGCCTTTGCACGTTCTGCTCCTCCATGGGGAATGTCCTTCCCTCCCGCTCTTGTCCCCCTGACATACTTGCAAGTATCCCCCAAATGGTGCTCAGACATCAGCTCCTGTGCGGCGGCTTCTATCTCCCTCCCGAGGGCACGCCTGATGGTCCAGTGCAAACCTGAATCCACGGAGCCTCTCTCTCCCCGTCCCCTCCCCCCGGTGCTCTGTCCCTGCACTGCAGGGGCCCTGCCCATCCCTCCCCATGCCGGCCTTCCCATACCTGGGCCTGCTGGGTCTTATCCAGCCACCGGGCACGGTCTGTAGAGCTGGGACAGTGCACGATGAGGGCACTAGACACGCACTGGAATTCAGTGAGGTGGATCACCAGGAAGCTGTCTGAGTGGAGGAGAAGGTCTGCTTCAAGGGCTGGGCCTTATTTGATCCCCATCCCGACCCCTCCTTCCCCTCGCCAAGAGGCAGGGAGAAGGAGAAGGCTCTCCCCGGGGAGCGACCTACGAGGGTCACGCAGGGGTCGGAATACAAGCTTCTCCAGCATCAGAGGGGGCCGGATGACCTTGGCCTTGTCTGCCTTGCGCTGGGGCTTAGTCACCAGCAGCATGTCAGAGAAGAGGAACAGGTACACGTCCAGCTGCAGGGGGAGGCAATGGGAGAAAGAGATGGGGTCGGCTGGGGCCGGCGGAAGGGCTGGTTGGGCTCGTGCAGGCGGGGGCATGCGCAGAGCTGGGGCTCTAGGCGGGAAGGGTGTCCGTTTGGTGCTCTCTTGCTTTGCAGGCCGGGGAGGTGGCTGGCTCAGGGCCATACGAGCAGCCAGAGCTCAGCCAGAACCACCTGCCCTTCCCAACACACGCGCAGCACTCCTCTGCCGTTTCCAGTGTTTCTGATGCCCCTGTGTCCCCCTCCCCCCTCTTCAGTTCGGCTCCCACCTCCTGCACTGTGCCCACGGCGCCTCACCTTCCCTTCCCGGCCCTCCTTCACTCGCACGGGTCCCTCCAGCAGCAGCTGTCTGGTGTGCTCAGGGGCAACCCCCAGCATGGGGGACGTCAGGTCCAGGGTGGAGAATGGACGCAGGTTCTGAGGGACACAGGTAGGGGAGGGGACAGACAGGGTGCCGGCAGGCTGTCTCTACATCCCAGCCAAGGGTGGCTCTGTGTTCTGCCACCAGCGCCACCTTTCTCTCTCCGTCCTCCCCCAGGGGCTGAGCAAGCATCCCAGTGCCTCCTTTTTGCTCTTCCGACCTCTGTCCCTTAGACCCTCACCGCCAGGAAGGAATGATGGATGCATCCCTTCTGTGGCACCCCCGCACAGAGTCTTCCGGCCTCTGCCCCCCATCCCCCAGGCCTCCCTTTCACCCGCATTCCCAGCCCCTTACTTCTTCTGAGCCCCTTCCCTCTGCCCCCTCTCACCTTCTCCACCTCCTCACTTGGCGGCTCCAGCACCTCGTAGGGCCCGATGCGCTGGGCCGCAGCCACCAAGCTCTCCTGCTCCTCGCCCTGGCGGACCTGCCCGTTGATGTGTCGCAGGAACGACTCCACAGCTGCAATCTAGGTGGGGGGTTGGGAGTGAAGGAGGAGGGACAGCTCAGCATCCTTCCCAACCAACGACAACCACAGCAGGCCGACCCGGTCAGGGCCACACTCCCACACACAGGGATCAGTGCCCACTCACCAGCCCCCAAGTCCCCAGGGTCCTGGCCCTGCCGGGGCACCTACCATGGCATTCAGGGCCTCTTGGGCTTGTGTCCCTGGGCTCCTCTTGAGCACGGCCTGGAGCAGCAGTGGGTACTTGGTGACGCGCTGGTGGGGCTTGATGAGCAAGTCCCCGAGCATCTGCCTCCCCGAGCTCTTGTGCTTCTCACACCACTGCCGGGAGGCGAGCGGGGCTCAGGCATCTGCTGGCCCACCTGCCCTACCTGGTGATGAACCCGGCCCAGCGGAGATTGGGATGACCTGGCTGGCCAAGACGCACCCGCCCCTCCCCGGCACCCCCCTCCCACCTGCACGAAGGCGTGGAAGAGAGGGTTACTGTCTTGCTGCTCCCGGGCGTAAGCCATCGTCTGCTTCACTCGCAGGCAGTACTGGACGTAGGGCTGGAACCGCTGACCAAACTGGAGGGACAGATACGGGGCGCGGGGAGCAGGCAGGGGAGGAAGGTCATTAATACGGGCTCCGGCTGCAGACCATGGGAGCAGGGCAGCAGAGCCTCGCACAGGCCTTAGCCCAGCTCCTGCCAGGCCCTACCTCCCTGATGGCCCTCACAGCTGGCTCTCCCTCGGCATTCCAGGGAGGAGCCTGAGGTTCCGAGACAGACCCACGGCTGCCCTCTGAGCTCCCTCTGGCCACTGTGCTGCTGCTCTGGCTAACTCTCCCACCATCAATAATTCAGCCAGACCGTCTTCAGGACGCTGCAGATCCCATTTCACCCCAGGCGCGGGGTGGTGACCTGAGGGTTTGCCCAGAGGACCTGCTCCTGTGGAAGGGCTTACAGGAGACCGTCCCCCACCTCTCCACCCACTGCCACATTTTCCTGCAGGGCTCACGCTTGCCTGGCCGGGTAAAATTGTGGAAGCAAGTCTGACCCTCTGCTCTCTTGCTTTCTCCTAGCTCTCTTCTCCACTCTGGATGCCCCCTGCGGCCTTTTGCACCCACCTCCCAAGTCATCCCAAGGGTCCTAAGGGTCCCCTCACTTAGGCCCCATTCTTGCACCCAGCTGTTTGTTGATAGAGCTCTAAGAATTAAGCTTTTACAGTTGATACGTGCTTAGATGTAGCCCTTCCCTGAGACAGCTCACTTCCACTTGTAATGGCCTCCAGAAGCCCACAGGACCTTTGACGCAGAGGCCAAACTTGTGGGACAGAGGGCAGGAGGTGAGGTGATATTTGGGGTAAGGGATACGCCCTGCAGGCCCAGCCAATCACACAAGGATTCAAGTCCTGTGGGCACGCCCTACAGACAGGACCCCTCTGGGTCTCCCAGTCCTGCCCCATTCGATGTGGCCTGCCCCAGGCCTCACCGTAAGGAAGCCGCTTTGCAGGCTGAGGGGGTCCAGAGGCTGGCCTGAGGCACGCGTCTCCTCCAGGGCGGGCCCCAGCACCTCCTCCCAAAAGCTCCGATGGGCTCGGATCAGGCTGGGGACATTTCCAAACAGGGTCTCAGCTGACACCTGGAGGAGGGAGCAGAATTTAGCAACATACCTTCGGCAGGCCCGTCTGGTAGCACCGGCTGTGGGAGGGCGGGGTCGGGGCTCCGGCCTTCCCTCCACCTCTGTGGCCTCAAAAGGCCAAGTACTGGGAGATGGGGGGACCTGCGGCCTGCTCAGGGTCTAGAGCAGAAGGGGAGCAGCGTGGGCAGGAGCACTTAGGAAATGGGGCAGCCTGGAGGGCTCTCTGTGCTGCCCCCACCCTTACCCCCAGGCTCCCCTCCCCAGCTCCCACTCACGTCCATCAGCAGTCCCACTCGCTGCAGGTTCAGCAAGCCAGCAGCTAGGAGCTAGATGCAGGGAGAGGGGTGAGGGTCTCAGTGCCTGACCGCCCTCCTCCTGGGACCCCAGCCTAGCCCTTTAGCGCCACTCCCCACCTCCTACCAACTTCAGTGCTGCCGACCCCTCTCCCCAGATCCTGGGCAGGTCACGAGATCAGGAGATCTCTTGGTGTCCTGCCCCTCTGGTCTGGGAGATTGGGGGTAATGCACCGGAGATGGGCGAATGGCTGCGGACGGGGCCAGGGCAGGGCTGAGGGAGGCTCACATCGGTCATGATCTTGAGCTTTCTCACGAAGATCAGCTCGGTGGTCAGCAGCTCCCACAGTGCTTCCTGCTGGTGGCAAAGCTCCCGGCTCATCTCCTGTGGTGGGGACAGTGCTGCTTCAGCAGGCATCGCTGATCAGAATGGCAGGTACCATTTATTAAGTGCTACTGGATCCATGTCACAGGTTCTAGGTACTATGTACGTGACCTCTCGGTCCTCAAACCACCCCTCCAGTGTATAGATGGTGTTAGCCCCATTTTACGTATGAGGCAACTGAGGCTCACAGAGTTGGCTGTCTTGGCCAAGATCTCACCAGTAAGTGGCAGAACTAGGATCTGAACCAAGATCAAGGTGTCTCCAAATGCTTTTCCCCATGACCCGACCTCCCGAGGCCTTTCCCTCCTCCTCGGCAGAAAGTGTGTCTGCATGTCTGTAGTGCCATGGGGACAGACACTGCTTCAGGCCCACCTTGTGCCCAGGCACCAGCTCCCTCCAGGACTTCTCGATAGCCAGGCCGCTGTCACCGCCCTCTCCTATTTCCCAGCGCCGCCGGTCCTCAGGGGGCAGGCGGGGCATCCCAAACATGCTGAACGTGTGCAGCCTCACCTCCAGCTCGTGGGCCTTGGTGACGTCCTATGGGAGCCGAGAAGGGGATCAGTCCTGGCCACTTCCTTGGTACCCAGCCCACAGGGCTCCCGGAGGGCTGTGTGTGTGCATGCATGTGTGTGCACGCGCGTGTGTGTGTGTGTGCGTGGTGGGAGGTGGCAGGCAGCACCGAGTTAGAGTCGGGGCATAGAAGCGTGGGGTCAGGGATCGGCCCCGGCTGCTGGCCAGAATGACACGGCAGAAGGCATTGCTGGATCCTGGTTGGAGAAGCACCTTGGTCTGAAGAAAAGTCCCAGGACACAGGGATCAGACCTGGGCTCCCTGACCAGAAGGATACCTTCCAGGGGTCTCCTGGTTCAGAATGGGGTGGGGGAGGGACAGAATCAGAGCCTTCAGAGGGACCTTCAAGTGGAGATCAGAGCAGGACATAGGGAACCAGTGGTCTCGGGCAATGTTTTGACATTTGCCCACAAAATGGACATTTTCACGAAGCAGCATGGCTTACATTTTACAATTTTTTGATACCAAGTAAGGTGGGCAACAGATATTCCCAACCCCCCTCCATCCCAAATGCAGCTTGAGAGGAGGGGTGAGGCTCACAGCTGGGGTGCAGGATGATGTGGGGCTTGGGGTTGGAGGGAGCATGTCCAGCTCTCACATTACTTGGTAATTTTCAAAAGCTGAGGGTTTAATATTAATAGCTTATCCTTCACATCTTATCAAAATGTCTTGAGTCAAAGTCACTGGGTCCAATGCATGGACCAAGTACACATATATCCCCAAGCGGGTCTCTGGACAGAGCCGTGCCTGACTTCTTGGAGGGGCTGCAGGCAAAAGCCTCCTCGACCCTGCCCCAGCCCCTGCAGTTTACTGGGCCTGGGTGCATGGGGGTGGGAGGAGAGAGAGCCCCTTACCTTGAGTTTGGGGGAGTGAGGTGGGCCAACCCCAAAATGGCCTCCATGCCTCTTCTCGGGTTCTGGTTCTCGCAACCTCATGGGAGACAGGCCTCGGGCCTGGCCAGAACCCTTGGCAAAGGGGACATAGTGCTGGCGGTATCGGCGACTGGGATCCTGGGAGGGGAGCAGGGAAAGTTCTGGGGGTTCCTCCCTTTTCCCAGCAGTCCCAGACAGGTAGTGGGGCCCAGGCTTGGCTCTAGACATCAGCCCCCACCCCTATCTATAGTTGGGCTGGCCCCCTCTCCCCTCAAACCAGTGTGGTGTAGGCTGCCCCTGCCCTGGGTAGCGGCTGCTGCCAGGGAAGCCAAGCTGAGTGGGCAGGGGCACGCGGCCTGGCCTGCCCGTGGGCCTGGGGGCAGGAGCGCAGGCACACACATGCCTGAGCTCTGGTGTGTGTATCCCCAGTGTCTCTTGCTCACACTTGTGCTTTCTGTGTCATGGGCTTGCACAGACAACACGTGGGCACACTGCAGTCTGGGTCCCCACAGCTCTCCTTGTCTGTGACCAGCCTTCCGCGCACATGGGGACGAGAGCACACACATGTGCGGCCTCCTCCCTAGGGGCGTGCAGCCTGTGTTCTATCCAGCTGGGAGTGGCTGCCCTTCCGTGTGAGAGGCTGAGGCCACAGAAGTCTCCTCCCAGGGCAGGCCTGGTCACATTCCTTGATTTGCCTGTGGCCCGAATTACCCCACGTACTTCCTAGTTTCCCTTCCCACCCATGGCCTGTGAGAGTCCCCATCTCCAAGGGCCAAATCCTCCTCCAGTGAGGCAGGGGATACCCCCACTCAGAAGCAGAACTGTCCTGAAGGGAAGCCTGGAGGCAGAGGGACAGACGGGAGCCCTGGCTGCCACACCCCTTTCTTTGGTCGGGACTGGAGGAGGGCCAGGCAGGTGGAGCCAGGGGTGGAGCTGAGGCGGGCACCCCACACCCTCCTTCACCTGGGGCGTAGGGACACCCTGAACCTTTGCTCTTCCTCAGTTCTGACTCAGAGGGAGGCAGGTCACAGGGAGCCCTCAAACTCCTGCTGTGTAGAGGCAGGAACCTGGGAGGTGCCAGCTCCAGAGTTTGGTGACCTTACCTGCAGCTCTGTGCCTCAGACCTGTCTAACAGCACCTCCTCTGCAGGCCTGGCTTCTCCTGGCTCTCTGCCTCTCCTGCCCCGGCTGTCTAGGAGCCTGGCCCAGGCACTGCCCTCCTCTCCCCAGCAACCCAGGAAAGAAGAGTAGGATAAGGGACAGCAAAAGGGAGCCTATGAACCTGTAGGGGGACAGAGACTCCAAAGCCTGGGCATCCTCCCTCCTGCCCCACCCGGGTCACCTTCAGGCAGAGCCTGGACTCACCAGCACGGGGACTCCTTGGGGATAGAGACCGACAGCAGTGATCTGGGCACGGGCTCGATGCCCGCCCCCGTAAGTCTTAATGCGGGAGGCCACGAGTCCATGCAGGGGGCCCTCATCTGGAGGACTGAGGGCATGCATCCCTTCTCTCCTGGGTCACCTCCAAAGGGTCATAGCTCCAATGTACAGGAGAGGAGTCCCCTGAGGCCGCGAGAGAGAAGAGAAAGGAATGGGAGGACCAGCCTTGATCAGTGAGTGGCACCAGGCTGGAGACCAAGGGAGGAGGGAAAGAGAGTGGAGCAGGGGAGGAGAGGGCCAAGGGCTTGGTCATTTGTTGGCGGAGGGTTGGGGAGGTGGCCTCATCTATGACTTGGTAGGGTAGAGTAGGTCTAGGCACAGGCCATGTAGAAAGCCCCTTGGAGATCTATCTCCTTCCTCACATGCATGCACATTTGGGATACAAACTCCTACGCTAGCCTCAAAGGATGCTGTTGTTCTAAGAGTAGCTGGGGGCAAGGGTCACAGACAGGTCTCTGGCTTTCTGGATACCGCCAGGTGGAAGGATTCCCCTTCTACCTAGATACATCCCCTTGCCCCCTGTCCACGCGCAGCCTGGGAAGAGCTGCAGGGAGGCAGTGGGTGGGGAGGCGACTGCAGGTGGCTGGAGACAGCCCAGGCAGCTGCCCATTTCTGTACAACCTGCAAGCTAAGAATGGTCTTTACATATTGAAATAGTTGAAACAAACCAAAGAAAACAGTATTTCGGGACAAGTGAAAATTATATGATATTCAAATTCAGTGTTCACAAATGCAGTTTTATTGGAGTACAGCTTTGCTTATTTACTAATTGTCTATGTCTGCCTTCCTGCTGGTTGTGACACATGCACAGGCCACAAAGTCCATACTATTTACTGTCTGGCCCTTTACTGAAAAGTTTGCTCACCCCTTAGCTGGCTCCTCCTGGCCACAGACAAGGAGGTGACTGGGGACAGATATCAGGCCACTGGCCTTTACAGGTCAGCCAAGTGGAGGAAGAGTCTCTCCCAGCCTCGGAGAATACCACCATGGAGCCGGAGCCAGGCCCGGGCTCCATCCCTCGCCCCTAAACCCTGAGGGAGGACCCACCTGCTGAGTGGGCAGGGTCTGGAGAGGACAGGGGAGGTGGGTTCAAGAACACTGTGCAGGTGCTTGTCCCCCGACCAGGGGGGCTGAGGCCCCTGCTCAGCCCTCCCCTTACTTTCTCTCTGATTTATGAGCAGAGGAGGAAAACGTTCATTGTCTCCCCTGCCCCTCCCAACAATCCTCCCTGTGAGGGCTCTGTCTCCCTCTTGATCCCCCACCCAGGGTCCCTTCTCAGCTCGGGCCCAGCTTCCCTTCCTCCCTCCAGTCGGACTCGAGGCCTTCCCCCGCCCCCGCCCCAGTTCCCAGGCCCCGTGTCCCCTGCCCGCCCCGCCCCCGTCAGCCCGGCCCTCCCGCCGCTCACCTCCCGCAGGTGTCCCGGCGCCCGCCGCCCGCGCTGCCGCCCCCCGCCCGCGGGGCTCTCTGTCGCCGTCGGCTGCCCCGGCGATGCCGGCCGCGCTGCCCAGCCTGGGACTGGGACGCAGCGGCCCGCGGGACCGGGCAGCGCTGGGCCGGGCGGGGAGGGACGGTGGCGGGAGGGGGCGGGGACGCGGGCGGCACCGCCCCCAGCCGTGCGCGCCGCGGGCCGCTCAGTGGGGCCCTGGGGACATAGGAACCCCTGCCCCATGCAGCCGCCACCCCTGACAAGGACTGCTCACTTCGCAGTGCCCTCCTCCCCTTTCCCTCCGCACTTGAACCAACCACCCACCCGGCCGGCGCCGCGGGGCTGGGACCGCGCGCCACCCGCGCCCTGCGCTCGGCCAGACCCCGCGAGGCGCCAGGGTAATGAGCGGCAGCGAGAGGCGGCGCCGGCCGCAGGGGGCGGCGAGGGCGATGACCCAGTGACTTGTGGCGGGTGCCCACCTCCCTTTCGGAGCGCAGCGAATGACCAGCTGTCCCGGTGTGCCAGCGGGAGGGGCGTGCGCCGGGGACCGCGCAGAGCGCGCTGCCCTGGCTGCGGAGTACAAAGGGTGACCCTTATCTCTTAGCGGGCCCCGCTTGCCGGCCATGGCAGCGCGTGGAGGCTGTCTCTGGACTTTGCCTTCGCTCCAGGGATGAGGCCAGGTGCCAGGCTGAGGCCGAGCCGACTCTCCTCCCATTGCCTGTGACGGAGGTGGGAGGAGAGGGGTATCAGATGGGGACACCTTCCCGCTTCACTGCCGGGTGGGCTCCACAGGGGCCACCCAGCACCCACAGTGGCTGCTACAATAGAAACTGCAGAAGGAAGGGCACTTGCTGGGCATTCCACGAAAGGACCACATTTCCAAATCTCCAAATTATGCCACTCGGTCTGACAGAAGTGCTGGGTGTTTGAAATCAGAAGTGTCCTACGGATGTGTGATCGTTATAATCACCAAGCCCAAGGCCCTGCAGTGGGGATGGGGCAGGTCCAAGGCCCCCACCTCTCCATCCTGCCTGTGGTCTCGTTCCTGCCAATGGCGTCTCCGTGGGTGACTGATACAACTCCTTACAGCTGTAGCGCATCCCGGAATTCATGAACCATTTTCAGAAGCAGACTCTTCCTGGGGTCCCCAGGGAAAAGAGTCTCCATTCCCCTCTCCTGCCTAGCATATTAAACACATAAATGGTCAGTGTGACTCTGATGACTGTTCAGTTTGGGAGAGGAATTTTTATCACTGGGTGCTTTCTAATTGTGCATTCCCCGTCCCCATCCTCAAACTTGCCCTCAGTGTTCCCTTTTCCTGAGCTTGCTTTGTGTGATTGCTTTGTTGGTTTAGAAGAGTCCCGTGTACCTCTGTTCCTGAATCACCCTGCCTCCTGCATCCTGCCTCCCAGTTGGCGGTGGGACCAGTTTTAAGGGTAGAAGTCTGGTGGGACAGGAACTGCAGTGGCAAGAAACCAGTGTGTGCCTTGTCCTAGCCCTTGCTCTTCTCCTTCACAGTGTGCGTGTATGCATGTTGTGAGAGCTAGACAGACAGACGGACGGACAGAGAGATCCAGGATGACAAGAATAGCCATAAGGGAAAGAGAGTTAATAAACAGGGAGATGGTGATTACTGGCAGTATTAAATGACACCCCAGAGACAGCTGGTGCCAAGGGCCCCTAGCTTCTCCTCCCAGTGTGTCCCAGAAGGAGGTGGAAGGAGTAAGAGGGAAATTGAAATTCAGAGAGCACCAAGGACAAGCTTGGACTTACAGTGCTCTGGGGTGAGCCGGCTAGACTGGACCAGGGGACCCGGGAGAATTAACCCTTTCACTTCCCTCAAGGCTGAGGTCCAATCTCCGCCTGCCACTGCCCGAGGGCCTGTCTTCAGGAGAGGTTCCCAGGGAGTCTAGAAACCAGAGGTGTGGCTGGGCATAGGTGTGTGGGCTGGGAGGCGGGACTCCCATGTTTTTTGTTTGTTCTACTCTGGCCTTGTCTGATCATCACTGTCACAACCTCTGCTTTGCACAACCCCTGCTGTGCTTCGGAGAGCAGACTACTCCCCCCCCACCCCCGCAGGCTCAGGGAGCTGAATGAAGTCTGAAGAGTTGGGAAGCTGGAGGCTTGCCGGCTACTGAGTGGGGCCGTGGACATCTGTATATTTGTCTTTCTTCCTGGTTGCCCTAGACCTTCCTCACATCTCTAGCTGGAGTCATATCACTCCTCTGTGCCTCAGTTTCTCCCCCAGTGTAGATACTCCTTGTCAGGCCCCCAGCTTGACCCCAGAGCTGATGAGAAGGTATCTGTCTGTCCAGTGGCGTATCGAACGCTTCTGTCGGAGAGCAGCCTGAGGGTAGCTTTCTGCGGTTGGGTGAGGGCAGGAAGTTCAGGGAGACTCCCTGGAGCCCTGAGCTCTGCCCAGCCTGTACTCAGGGCCAGGGTGGGGACCATCTGGGCTAAGGAGGTGCTGGCAGGCACTAGCAGTCGGAGGCAGCTGGTGGGGGCTTGTGTCCTCCCTGCCCAGAGTGGGGGAGAAACTGAGGGCTTGAGCTGGGAGGTGCCAGGTCATGTGAGGCAGATAAACACCAGGAGGCCAGGCCACCAGGCACAGCTGCCAGTGCCCTAGACCAGGACTGGTGACCCTCTTTCCTCCTCCCTCCCTCTCTTCCTTCCACATTTATTGGCAGTGTTTACTCGTGCAAGGTACTAGGAAAATAGGGATGAATAAGAGATATTTTCTAGTCTGGGCAACATAGCAAGACCCCATCTCTACAAAAATAAAAATTTTAAAAATTACTAATGGTGTACAATGTACTCTATTTGGATGATGGGTACACTAAAAGCCCAGACTTCACCGCCGTACAATGTATACATGTAATTCAACTGTACCACCTAAATCAGTGAAAATAAAAAAAAAAGAAACAAATTAGCCAGCTGTGATGGCTCGGGAGGCCGAGTCAGGAGTTTGAGGCTGCTTTGAGCTATGATTGCATCGAAGCACTCCAGCCGGGGCAACACAGGGAGACCCTGTCTCTAAAAAAAAAAAAAATAAAAAGAAATTGAGGAAAGGCAGGCTTTCCCAAAGGCCTCCTGAGAGTCTGCCCTGATGGCTCCCTGGGGACATCCCACCCTCCAAGTAGATGATCTCTGGGTCCTGGCTTAGGAGGACAAACCCTCTTCCTGGACTTGGAACACCTCCACAATTTGACCCCAATTATACTTCCCACCTTTCACCTGCTGATCACTTCCCTCCCTGCTTCTGCCTGCCCTGGCCACTGTGTTTCTTTGAAAGGCACCACCCTTAATCTGCCTGATCTTATTGGTCTCTGCATAACACTGGCCCATGAGGGCAGGGACCAGCCCCTACTAGCACAGGCCTGGCACAGGACTGGTATCAGTGTTTGGGAATTGACCGTGAGAGGACCCAGACAGAATCGACTTGTAGGGAGACTCATCTACACTGTCCCCTCCTTCCCTGCCCAAAGGAACCGCCTTTGTTTTTTAGATACCTGGAATTTTCCCATAACTTCAGTTTGACATGCCTGGTTCATTACTGTAGCTTCAGCATTTCCTTTATGCTCCTTCTAAAGGTTCCTGACCCCTTAAGGTTTACCTTGCAGGCCGATTCTGACAGGTAGCTAGTGGCTTCCTAGAGCATGATGTTAAGAAGGATTCCGTGGGGGGTGGTGGCTCAGGGGAAAGAA